CTATATTTGAAGAAATATCTATTCAAGTCCTTTTCCCATTTTTAAGTTATTTTGTTTGTTTGTTGTTGACTTTTAGGAGTTATGTATATGTACTGGGTATTAATTATTGATTAGATGTATGATTTGCAAATATTTTCTCCCATTCTGTGGGCTAACTTTTTAAATTTTTAAAAATTATTAAATTTTCATGAAGTCCAATTAGTTTAGTTTTTCTTTTGTTACCTTTGCCTTTGGCGTTATTAATGAAGTTTTAAACCAGTTAACTCATGGTATGTTCAATAGTGTTGTAGATTTTTTCAAAAACGGGCAAACCAAGATTTTTTTTTCACGTGAAAAATTCATGGGATATAAAAAACTCAACACTGTCATCTTGCCTAAAGAATTATTAATATTAAGAATTATTATATTCTTATTAATAATAAGAATTATTACCAGGTGGTAATAATTAATGAGAATTTATTTGCCTTTATTTCCAATGCAATCACTGTAAGTCTCTATGATTATAATAAATTTTCTACATTTATAATAAAAATACAAAACTATAATTTACTAGTAATGACATGTTTTATGTCACAAACACATGTTTTTTAATATAAACATATAAAAAGAAGGTATATGAAAAAAGGTACCTCAGAATTTATTTTAAAGCAAACATTCTTAAATTTTTTTTTTAAATTCATATTGATGCTGACATCCAGCCCTTCTCCCCAAAATTTATTCCTCTCCATGCCTATTACATCATTTTAGGAATTAGATAAAATGGAAATGAGATGAGAGACAAATTCAGAAAAGATAGAATTCACTAATGCTTTTGGATATGTGGCATAGCAATTTGCCTTTTGCAGGATGAAAATATTAATTACACATTTTTAAAAATCACAAATGTTATGCATCTCCCTGGAGTCTAGAAAGTCTTTCATATTTCTTAATTACCAAACCTCAGTTCTGCTGCACAGCTTTCTTTCTCATTGCTCCTGTTGCATCCAGGGTCATCTTTGCAATTTCCTCTGAAAACAACTATACATTAACATACAAGGTTTCAGTGTGGGGAGGGTGGGTGGGGGTGGAAGAAAGAAAAGGTGTTAATTCAGATGTTATGAAACTGTGATAATGCTGTTATTTAAGACACTTATTTAGGTCTGTTTATACTTTGTAGTTTTATAAATAAGCCCAAGGGGCTTCTCCTGGTTGTCACTATCCTTCTTGAATCTCGTATCCTGTCTGTCTCTTCCTATCCAACAGTAGAATTGATGCCGCTCTAATCCCTGGAAGTTTGGAACTAATGAACTGACTGCTGAGCTGCCGCCACGGAGCTTGGTCCCAAACTATACTGTACTTCACACTCGATTTATTCTCCAGATGGCGAGACTGTGCCACCCTGCCGTGAGGGACCACCTCTTCCACTGGAGTGTAAAAGTGGACGGATGTTGTTTTCTTTTCAGACTTGATCATTCTGAGCTAGAAACTTGTGAGGATGATTAGTTATTAGCTTTAATGGGTGCCAATTGAACCAACTGCACGCATATTTTCTCCTTTAATTTTGGAGTCTGCAGGTTGGTGATGGTTGATTTATCTGCTCTCTTACGTCACTGGAGCATGTCTCTTCCCCAGGTAATAAGAACCCAGTCTCTGAAATCATAGTGTGCCTTGGTTCCTGGCCCAGACAGAATCACTTAATACGGTGGCTTGTGTATAAGGAAGGACAAGTTTATTAGCCACTGGTCCACTGCACTAAGCAGCCCATGGCACAAAATGTTGATTGAATGCCTGAACTTTGGTACCACTGCCTCTTAGAACAGAGCCTGTGAAGATTCTGATCAGTCCTGACCTCTGTGACCTCTGCAGAGCCTACCTCTGGAATCGAACATACTACAGAGCACACTATGGTGATTAGTCTCTGCAAAGATCTAATGTAACTGTTGGTAAAGGCCTTCATTCCATTATTCTGACTTTTCCAGGCTGTCAGATCTTAGGAGAAAAGGTTCATCTTACATGAGAAACACTTACCAAAGTCTTGTAGTGTTAGTACATTTAGAATGCAGTTCCTTCTAAGCTTCATTTTGAACAACGTGTTTTGCTACCAGAATATGACACCCCCCAAAAAAAGGTCTGTTTTAAGTGGCCTCTTTTTGTTTTTGCTTTCATTTCCTTCTTTCTCCAGGAAACACTCAGCAACCAATAATCTCAGCAGATTACTTGGCTAGCCCTTCTGAGAAGATAGTTTCTACTGGGCTGTGTTTTACCAATCCCCCTAACGAAATGCAAATTAAAGGATAGTCAGGGCCAAACAGGAGCCAGGGAAAAAGACAAAAATGTGAAAGGAAGTGAGGTGACTGAGATGAGAAAGAGACTGTAGCAAGAAGGAAGGTATGTGTTAGCGAGAGGGGAGGAGGAGAGAGAGGGAGAGACAGAGAATAGAATGAACACAATTTCTTTCTTTTCACAACTGAGTGGACTATGGCTCTCTCTAGCTGAACACCCAGAACTAAACTTAATTGTTCTTAGAAACTGCTTTCCTCTCATCCAACAGATGGCATGGGTGTGTTTGCTAGCACAGTAATATATTTCACCATTAAACCACCAAAAAGGAAAAAAAAATCAACACACTGGTTGGCTGGTGTAAATTCAGTGAAGTCGGATGTTTTGGGATACATGGCAGAGGGATGCACATTTAGTTTATGTAAATTTCAACAAGAAACAGCCTGTTATTAAGGGTGTTGTGTGACAATATACATCCAAGCGTTTTGGTTTTTTTTTTTTTTTTTTTGGAAAGGTACAGAATGATGAAGTGGAAAGAGCTTGGTTATAATTCTGAGCCAGAAAGAGAAAAAAAAAGTCTGATAAACTGCTGATTATTTGCTGCTCATTATTATAACAGGAAAAGTACTAATCAGATTATGCCTAAAGTTGGAATTAGGTCCTTCATTTGCAGCCAATTGCACAAGTGCAGAATTTTACTAAGTAAACTAGAATGTGCTGAAACCATGGCAATCTGACTTTAGATAAAAATCATAAACAGGTTTAGAACATGAGCTTTGAACAAACAGTCCCCATCAAATCCAAATGAAACAACAAAACAGCTTAGAGGTCACATTTTGTTTGACACCAACATTAACCATTTAAGAAGTTGAGCACACATACAGATTAAAGTAGAGAATGGAGATGAAGATTCAAATAACTCGAGTTTTAAAATGCATTTCAGGCTAAATTACTTTCCTTCCATTTTCCATTCACTTTGCCCCAACAGACCTTTCAGAAGCTGGACCTGCTATTGAAAGAAATCATGCAAGTCGAAATGTTTATGGGCTGTAGCAATCCGAGTTTGTAGTTGTGCAGGCTACACGGAGCACAACACATTTTAGGTTCTCTGAAGTCATAGATCTAAATGCATGCACTGCCAAAGGCTGGAAGCATTTCTCTCACCAGCTCTACACGGCCTTGGAACCATGATATTGATGGAGCGAACTTCCACTTTCACCTTCAGGATTTTCATATTTAGTGGATGTAACAAGAGGGCATGGTAGAGCAGTGGATGAGTTTTATAGCTGTGGAATGGCCAACAGCATGGTGTTGAACCAAGCCACTGCTGGCTGCATCATTCTTCACTTTAGCTAGTGTCAGCACTCCCTTGCTTTTCTCTAAGCTTGGTCTAATTCCTGGCAGTCAGAGCTCTGTGAATCTGGACTCCACAAAGCTGTCTTAAGCTGGTCCTATGTACCCTGTTTCCATCTGACATGACAACTCTAAGCTACCGTTTTCTCACACTGTTTAACTCGGACCACATTTTGAAGCCTTCCCTGCTTCCACCGGGTTGTAGACCTACATCCATCCTGGCTTGTCTTGTTTGATTACACTTTGACTCAGTATCAACTCAAATAATTCTTTTTCTGTCTCCATTTTGGTTTGCTATTTTCCTAAATAAGGACTGCTGTTCAAATGGTTGCATATTATCAGGACCTTTTTTTTAAAACACATTCATCAACAGTGAGAAGCTTTAAAGTTTTATTAGTATCATAAAAACCCTTCCCAAATGAAACTACTTTTGATATGTATTCATTCTGACAATGAAATTTCAATGCTGTTGGCAAGTTGGGGGAATTTGTTTTTGAAACTGAAATTGACAGGAAGTAATGACCCCAAAGAGCTTTTTTCCCTCAACTCCAAAACCCACCCCCTCAATGAAAATGCACTCCTTTCCCTCCTGCCTCACCTCCATCAACCCAACTAAGAGCCAATAAATAACATATTTGGGTTCATACAATTTTTCTGAGGACAATGCAAATACTAAAGCAAACTTTCAACCTTTCCGCTTTCCTTAACTGGAGCAAAAACTGTCTAATCAAATAAAAAATGCATTTTATCTACCACTTCATGAAGGAGTTTTTTGGTGATATTATTTCCTTCCATCTGAATAAGCTGGAGCTTTTTTGTAGTGTGGAATGTCATTTTCCTGTGACTGCCTTCCTAATTGAATGTCAAGATTCAACTAAGTTGCAAAAAAAAATTGTTCTAAGTGAATGAAAAGCATGAATCCTGTGGAAAAAAACAAATTTTTATTTTTTTCTCTAATGTGAATATGCTGGCAGATGAGACCACCATCGCCAAGGTTATCTGCCTTCTCTTATTTATTAAGTGAGAAATTACAGGTAGAAGATTTAGAACTATGCCTAGTTCTTAGTAAATGCTCAATAAATGTTACCTATCAATTAATTTACCTTTGCAATTGAAAAGTAAAGCTAATAAGCAAGATGACACTACTATTCAGGAATATGCTAATAAGCAACATGACACTATTATTCAGGTGTGCATTGTAGGGGCCATCATCTATGTTATAGTCACCTTGAATGAAGTCTGGAAATCAATCATTTATCTATCAAACTCTATGACTTATTTCAAATACCATTTATTTGGTAGACAGGGAATTTATAGATACAATAACGGTGCTCAGGCTCTGAAACTACTTAAGTTTCACAGGAGATACATTTTATCAACACTTACAGAATGAAGCTCGATTAAGAATAGTGAAAACTCTTGAAGACTTTGATCTCAGCCCAACTGAAAAGTGTGTGAGAATCAATTCAGTGTCTAGTGGTCTGGCTGAAGAAGACCTGGAGACCCTCTTGCAGTCCCGGGTCCTTCCTTCCAGCCTAATGCTACCGAAGGTGGAAGGTCCTGAAGAAATCCAGTGGGTGAGTAGCTAACCCTTAGCTTTATTTTATATTTTGTTTGTTGATTTGAGAGAGAGAGAGAGGTAGAAGGGGGGGAAGAGAAAGAGAAACATTGATTTGTTGTTCTACTTACTTACACATTCATTAGTTGGTTCTTTCTTGTATGTACCCTAACCAGGAATTGAACCCACAACCTAGGCATTTTGAGACAACGCCCAAACCACCTGAGCTACCAAGCCAGGGACACTAATGCTTTGCTTTAATTAAAGATTCAGGACTGGCTGAGAAATAGCAGCAGAAAGGAAGCATTTGAGTGCTGCTGGTTTTGAAAATTTATACACAGAACAGAAAGAGAATTCAGAAAAGAAGTGAGCTCAAGAGATCATATTCCTTGCACAAAGAACCTGGCTTTACCCAAAGTGTTCTATGGGACAACTCTACTCTTGAAATGATGATTCTGCTCCCTAATCAGATTTGTGGTTTAGTTAACATAGCCTCTGCAGTAGGCCTTACAAAGCAGTCCTTAGAAACTAGCTTGCCAAAGAATTGGATGCTTCTTATACCTGTCAGGCCCTACCCCTCCACCTGGGAGAGCAGTGATGTAAATGGCCCTTACCCAGCCAGATTCATTGGAAGAGATCATAGATGCAAATAAAAAAATGAACCTAGAAGAGGAGGTCACTCCTTAGGGCAAACAGAGGAATAAACAGGAAGCTTTTAATCAGTGGTTTTAATTAGCACAGATATTATTTCCTGAACAGTTCTCTAGTTCTTCCTTTTTAAATTGCTGACAGGTGTGTTTGTGTTTCATGACAGACTTTTCAGTCAATAAAAACATGCCATGTCAAATTACTTAGAAAACTTTGAAATGGGCCTAATTATACTACGATTGTTGTCATTGTTAAAGTTGGGGTAGGCGACATTTTATTTTGGGGTAGCTATAATTCTGCAAATCTCTGCTGAATAAAATAACATTCCACTTTGCCACTCCACAGCAGAGGGCCTAAGACATGTAAGTGCTGGAAGCATGTAAAGATATGTGGACAGTGGTGATTTTGATGCCACAACTGGGATTACTCTAAGGCTATAGCTGCAATTGCAGCAATATGCTGAGTAGTTGTAATTCCTGAGGAAGCTGCTCACCTTTTTAATAGCAGGTAGATAAGTTGGACCTGTGCTTTCCAATGCCATGGTACCTACCACGCATTGCTACTGAGCACTTGAAATGTGGCAAGTCCAAACTGAGATGCCCTGGAAGTGTAAAATACATACAGGATTTTGAAGATTTTGTAGTCTCCCTACCCCACCCCCAAAAGAATGTAAGTTATCTCGGTAATTTTTATATTGATTGTACTTTTGAATGATACTATATAGGATATATTGTTAATTTTAACATTATTAAAATTAAATTCACCTGTTTCATTTTACTCTTTTAATGGAGCTACTAGAAAATTTAGAATTACACACGTAACTGCCATTATTTTCAGTTGGACAGCTCCGTGTTGGTTCTTGAAGCCTGGTGTTCAAGGACCTATATTTACTTTCTACACTGGAGTTCTCCTCTCCTAGGTCACCCCTCAGAGTCTGGGAGATACTGGTCATACTAGGTTAATATCTTCAAGGGCTTCTAGCCCTTTCGAATGTGTCTTAAGTTGATTGAAATGGAATCTGAAGTTACTGTTCCCTTTTAGTTTCATAGTTAATGCCTATTTATCACCATTATTACCCTCATTTGAAAGGGAGGACCCACCCCAGCCTTGAGCTTCGGCTTCTGTTCGCTGTTTTAAGATCCCTGGATTTGAGGAATGTACCGAAATCTAAATAGGATTTCTAGTTAACAGAAGTCTTTTGGGCTGTTTATTTTTTCCTCTCCGTTTGTATTTGTGTGAAGCATAAAACCCAGAGCCTGATGCACAACTGAAAGATGGGCTTCCTTGTTTTCTTTTGTGTGAGAATCTCTTGCTGGCCTTTTGTCGCTAGTGTGGGTTCTTGTTTGACTGGCACGGCTTATTGGACTATAACAAGCGTGACTCTGCCTCTTTTGTCGTGGGACAATTCTCCCACAAATCCCGAACAGTGTGCATTCTTCCAACACACTATTGGGTGTGCACTGGAATTGAAAGAATTGCTGAGCCCTGCTACTTCATCTCCTCCCCAATTTCTTTGTGATTTTTTTCCCCTTCTTTTCCTCTCCCCCACCCCCCAGTTCCCTCCACCTCACTGAAATGAACACTTTACCAGGCCGGAAACATTTAATCGTCTCCTTTTGAAAAAATTAATTGAAACTTCTCCACTAGTTACCTTTTGTGTGTGTACTTAATGCAATTTTTTAAGAGAGAAGGGGAGGAGGGGAAGGAGGATGGGCTAGAATATTTAATTTTTTAATGCCCCCATTGGCTTAAAAACAAAAGGCATTTGAGATTTTTTCTCACTGAGAACTAGGAATTTATTGCAAAGTACCTACTTTTAAGCTTGATGATTGTAGTTATAACTAATATCACAAAGCACGGAGGCAAATAATGTTGCGAGTTTTTTTTCTAATGAGAAAAAAAATTCCTCTACTGCACGTGTAACACCTACTTTCCAGCTTAAATATGACATAAATTATGTTTCATTTTCATTTACATGGAATACTGTACATTTTGTTCCCTTAAATTGTAGCCTTCTCTTCTTTCTTGCAATTTTGGTTGAGTTATTCCTTTCCTTGCAAAGTTACTAAGGAGGTGATGCTGGTGGTGACAGATGAAGGGAGGGGGCAGTAGGAGTAACTTGAAATAATTCTTCATTACTGAAAGCTGTGATTTATTTTAGCTTAATTGTAAAGTTACTGCAAATTGCTCAAAAGCTTTTTAAAGATCCTAGTGATTAGATTTGGGGGGGGGGGTGGGTACTGCACAGGCAAGGAGGGGGCAGCTAAAAGGGGAAATAACACCTCTAATCCTGCTTCTGGTAAATAGGCTGCCAGCTTTTAAAATGAGTTTCCTTTCTATTAGTTAGAATATTATGCTAAGCCTTAAGCATTAGTTTTTTTATGTTGCCATAGCAGCCCTATTCCTGCAGGGTGGTGACCTGCGATGATTACAGTACAAAGCTTATAGGGTCTTGAAACCCCCTTTGAAGATGAAAAGTCTTTGATGGTTTATATTTATGCAAATCTCTTAGATATGATTTACCCAACTGAGACTGAATGGAGAGATGATTAAAATCCCTTTTCCTTTGATATCCATTAATGGCTGAATATTCCTTAAGTTTAAAATGGATATATATGTTTTCATATTTATTTACAAAAATATCTTTGTCATACCTGGATTTTTTTTTTTTTGGTTTTTTGTTTTATATCTCCTCGAATCTTATTAGATCTAGATAGACTTAATAGATTTACAATTTAGAGTGTAGTGGGGGGTTTTCTTTCCCCTTTTGAAAGGGGGGCGGGGAGATCTGTGCAAGAGCTTTTGTATGTTTCCAGATGATAGATTTTGGAATTTGGGCTACCCCACTGGCAGCACAGAGCTAGCTGTGAACTGGTCTCATGGAAAAAAATTGGCGAGCTTTGGTCTTCAAAGAATTAAACTTCCTTTTTAAGGTCTTTTTAGGTAAGCTAAAAAATTATGAAGAAAAACCTTCTGAACAAAGGGTAATGGTGTAATAATGAATAATATGGATTCCACGTAGAAGGCTGCTGAGCAGTTACACTGATGTCAGTGCTGGGTATGAAACAGAAGCAGAATGGCAGGTAGGGCAGAAGACTGCTTTGTTTTAGGGGCCAACCACCTGCATTTAATGAAGTGAGGGTGAGAGGTCTTAAGAAAATAGGTTTTCAAGGGAAACATTTAAACTCAAGGATCTCTTCTTCCAGTTCTAGCTCCAAGGTCTCAAATTGCTCCTTTAGGGAAAAAAATTATAATATTTGGGGGGTTTTACTATTTAGTTTGGTGGGAACTTTGTTACCTTTTTTCATTGGTCTTTCCTTTTTCTTTTTCTTTTTTTTTAATTCTTTTGTGTGGACTAAAGAGACTGGGATATTACTTCCTCAGGTCAAAGTCTTAAATACTACTTCTATGTCTACATTTCAGTGATTGCACATTTTCCCCCCACTAATCACCTATGACACTTTTGATTTTAGTTTTCAGACAAATTTTCATTCTACTTAAAAGGCCGAAAACTTGAACAACCTATGAATTTAATCCCTTTTGTGGAAACTGCAATGGGTTTGCTCAATTTTAAGGTAAGAATACCCCAATGTAGTATTTTATTACCTACAGAGAACTCTTCTTTTCAATGTTAATACCTACTTAAAATATTTTTCTGAAAAGATTTATAGGCAAAATAAACCTTGAACACAATTTGTTATCTATAATTATCTAAAACTAGGCTGTAAGCATCTTAGAAAAGAAATTGGCTAAGTAGCAAGGAAAAACTTCCCAGTCCTAAATATTTAAATTGTAGATTTCTAGCAATAATTTTAATTAAATAATCACTATGTGAATCTGTGCTTTGACTCATTACATTTATAGATTAAATGTGCATGAAAATTTACTTTGTCAACTTTATGAATTAACTTTCAATTATTCTTTTGTAACAATTGCCTTTTATTGGGAAATTTTCTGGTCTCTTTGTAGCAACATACCCATGATTTCTAGTTGAGAAGATTACTATTTGTTAGCATATACCAATAATTTGTAGTATATTATTTCAATTTACCATGTTAGAACATAAAATATTTCCTAATACACATTCAGAAAGATTATCTGAGCCAAGTGTTTTCTAGCATTGTATGGTTGTGTTGAACTAGTTGCCTTAATAAAAAAAAATAGCCAGCTTGTAAAAAATAAATCCCTTTAACAGTGGTCATTTAAATTGTTCTCCAAAGTAAGCCTCACATTCCACCTGACTTGTGCACATCAATGTAGCACCCTACCTCATAAAGTGGGAGGAAAGGAATCTCTAAAAACAAAACAACAAAAAGATAGCTGAACTATTCTGGAGAGGTTATATGAGAGCAAATGCTCTAAGAGGAAACTTTGAGACCTATTGGATCATGCAGGAGGGGCAGAGTGCAAATGTTTGGGGAGCTGCTTCAAGCCTCATGATCAAGTGTGTTTACACCACTGCTCACAAATTCTTCCAGCCCATCGTAGAATTCTGGGAACATAATCAAAGCCTATCCCTTAGATGCAGCTAGATTCATATAAAGATTTAATTTTTAGTGTTGTTTCATCTTTCTACCGCATGCTCAGAAGCACTTACAACCCCTCAAATTAATCAGCAGTGTCCTTACCCATTTCTCATGTTTTCCCCACCTACATATATTGGCATGTTGTATCTCCGTCTTTGTAGACTCCCAATTATGCCTACAATGCATGTTATTTATCTTTTTTTTTTCACATAGAAATGTCAAATTTGCTCATTAATACATCTTGGGTGACTTGTTGCATTTTTTTATTTTCCCTCCTGGCATTGTAGATTTTTATATTGTACATCTTTAATCCTAAAATCATTTACTAAGAAATCTTGATCCTAATGCAAACAATCCAGTTAGTAGATTTAAAAATTCTTTCCCCTCTCCTGTGGCTTTATGTTTATGGTTTGAGACTCTTAAAGCAAAAACAAATTTTGGAAAAATACAAATAACTTGTAGTACAATCAATATGAGTTAATTCAAAAGTTTTTCTATGTAGTACAGTCAAAATGAGTTAATTCAAACTTGTCCTATAAATTGCATTAACTACAGTTTGGACATTATACCTATATTAATATACGTTAATAACTGTATCAGTAAAATCCATTTAAGCAAAGCCACTGTATACAACATACTTATCTTGGACACTATTAAATACCTTTCAAAAGGGGTAAATTTGGGCTGCATTTTTAGGACTGCTTTCAGCTAAACTGTGTTCTATTATGAGTTGGATCTTCCTGTTACTGAAATGTATACCATGCTGTTTCATTTGTGCATTACTGTGAAATTTGTTCTGTTCTGCTCTTTTTTACAGGCAGTGTGTGAAGAAGCAGTAAAGACTGGGCCTCAAGTGGGTCTTTTCCTAGATGCTGTGGTTTTTGGAGGAGAAGACTTTCGAGCCAGCATAGGTGTCAAAGACTCGTCTCTATCTCTTTCTCTCTCTTTCTCATTCTTTCTGTGTATATGTGTATATATTTTTCTTTGCCCCTTCACAAACGTGCATTTACATGACAATATATATTTGCCAACCGTTACAATGGTTTCTCAACTGAATGGGCAATAGTTCCTGATAATTTAGGATACTTCATAGTTCTCTTCCTTTTAGAACACATTATTATTTCTATTCATTTATAAAATAACAAATAAAAAGCCTGTTGCAGCCTCAGTCATGTTCAAGAATATATGGCATCTACTTTGTTCATAATAAGTATTATGTGAAGCCTTTCTACTGCTTAAATATTTTGTTTTCACATCAGCTTAAAGGCTATCGAGGCTCCTAACACAAACTTAAAGCAATTTCACATTTGCTTTAATAATAATTTTCTATATGAAATGTAGTATGTAAATATTATTTAAAATAGACTTTCAGTTCCTCCTAAAAGTATATTTCAGAACACTTATTGTTAAATATTTATTGAGATAGTATGCTTGTTTTCACTGATTTTCCTTATCTCTTGGGCACAATGACTGGTCTGAGTGTATGTATAACCAGAGACGGTGAGTGCATCTAGAAAAGAGGCCAAGGCCACAAGTATTTCAGAACCACAGTCCCAGTGGCCTGAAGACAGAAGCTTTCCCTGAGCAAATATAATCAGACACTCCCTCCCACTCCCAAGGTGAAAAAAAAAAGGAATTATTTTAATATCAGTCCTTCCAAGAGAGTGAGTTGGCGATGGTTTAGTGGACACTTTCTGCCTTCTGTTTCCCTAAGTTCTCCATCTAAAACCTGAAGCTGCAGTATTTGGCTCTGAACCTCAGTTATAACAGAGCAACCACAGCACATGAAATTCTGGGCTCAGTGAGAGAAGTTAACCATTTCCTTGAACAGCTGTTTGGCCACCTTTTTGTAGTGCTACCTTTAGACTGGCACTTTCCAAGTAATGGCAAGAAGGAAAAAAATATACCAGGAGTCATTTGTGACCTAGCAAATCATTCATGATTCTAGCTCCTGAGATGGGGAGGGGCCTTTTCTTGACAGACACACAAGAAATTATACTGAAAGATGCCTTGCAAATGTGACACATGAGATTTAACTCTGCCTCCACATACTTCTCTCCTTTTTCATACTTGAATCATCATTTTGCTGGGGGGCAATTCCCAGGAGAACATAGGTGTCTTTACAAACTGAGTTTTTGTAAGAGATGTATGGGTTCAGTTTCCAAAGTTAATGTCTCCTTTTTCTGTCAACATCCCATTTTCAGGTGCAACAAGTAGTAAAGAAACCCAAGATATTCTCTATGCTCGACAAAAGATTGTTGTTGTAGCGAAGGCCTTTGGTCTACAGGCCATAGACCTGGTATACATCGACTTTCAAGATGAAGAGGGGCTTCTCAGGCAGTCCAGAGAAGGAGCTTCAATGGGATTTACTGGTACGATTCTTGATGGTATCTTAGAAAGCAATGTCTAGTTTTGTGAACATTCCAGAATAGAAATTTAACCAGAAATTAATGTTCTTAATATAGCCAGATATTCCACATACCTGTTCCACTGTTTGAAACGTGAAAAAGCCACCCAGGGCATCAGGTTTTTCTTTGGTTCTGCCAATCAGCAAACAGATCACTCATTTTATTTTCTCTTTATATTAGTGACCTTTTTTTTTTTTCTGTCCTCTTAAGTATTTTGTTGAAGTTTTTGCTGACACAAGGCAAGGGATGAGGCTGTTATGAAAGTGTTTTGGGGTGGCCCTGGCCAAGTGGCTCAGTTAGTTGGACCATCATCCCAATGCACCAAGGTTGTAGGTTTGATCCCCAGTCAGGGCACATACAGGAATCAATCAATGAATGCATGAGTAAGTGGAAGAACAGATAGATGTCTTTCTCTCTCGCTCTAAAAAACAAAACAAAAAAACAGAAAAAGAAGTATTTTGGGGTGAACTTCCTTAAGAGTTTGGGTTGATGGGTCAAAGAAAAATTTCTTCAGTAGTCAAAATGTTAATTCATTTCTGAAAAATAAAACCTGGTGATTTTTTAAAAATTTTTTCACCTATTACTAGGTTTTTATTCTTCTTTCTCTTCAAAGCCCCCCTTTTTTCTTTCCCACCTCCCAGTAAGTGTCTGTGCACCTCACAATACCTACAGGCATTGGTGGGCACTGAGATCAGCAGTCCCTCGCAATCTAGTCCTGGAGCGCAGGTGGGTATCTGTTGATTGGTGTGCCTGATCACTCAGGTCTCCAGGAGCCCAGGGAGCAACTGAAAATTGTGTTTTTGCAACAGAAAACTATTTTTTGAGAAACCACAATAGGATTCTATACCCAAACACTTGTCTGCAATTGCATACACACAAGTGCAACCATGGTTAAAAAAAATACTATAAAATCTTTTATTCTTTTTGCTCTTCTACTGCAAGTTCTAAGAATATCATGATCAGAAATATACCCAAATAATAGGGAAAAGAGACAAGCATCCATGTTATCCCTTTGGTAAATATTTTTGAAAAGTGTCCAGTTAGGGGTTACTAAAGAAACATTTAATAAGGTGACTTTAAATTTAAAAGGTATCTTAATGGATGATGATTTAACCCAAAATAAAACTGAAAGGCTTAGGAAACAATTTAAGTGCTTTACTAGAATTAAATAAAGCTCCGACATTTGATTTTGTGTTTTTAACATAAAGAGTTAAAATGTGACACCTCCCCCCACCAAATTGGTTTAATAAATAAATAAATGCAATCTCTTATAGTAGATTAAATTTTTTTTAATCATCTGAACTATTAATAGATCCTCCCTACATTTAATAGTGATTAAGAAAGAAAGAGTCACTGCCTTTTTCTAACAACTGTTTAGGATGTGGTCCAAATGGAAAAGTTGGAGAAAAACTCCATGAAATCTCTCTAACAGACCCCGATGTTGCTGGTCTAAACTGTGTAGCATTGTCTGCTAAGCAACCAGATGTTGCTATGAAATGAGCACTAACACAATAAAAAAATAGAAAAAACTGAATTGATGCAGACCTCTGCTGCCATCATTTAGTATAATCTGGGTGCCCTCAGTTTGCTCTGGGGTAAATTGCTTGCTCCAGAACTTATAAAGGAGTTTGAGAGTTTCTCCAAGATACAGGACTGAATTAAATTGGTCACTAATTCAATCATAGAAGGCAAGTTATTTCAAATCAGATTTAAATTTCTAGACTGTGCCCAACTCGGCGTGAGGAGCTTATGGGCTTGGCACTATTGTTTCTCAACAACAGGGAGTATTAAATCACCCAAAAAATGGAAGGGGGGAAGGGGAAGTACAGAGGGCACAGTGCCCGTTATATATTCACTGAACAAGTCAGTAAAATAGAGAGCTACACTTTATAGCCATCTTGCAATTTTTAGCAAGAAGGTCTTCTTTTTGTCCCAATTATATTTCTCCATGCCAATAAAAGGTAATTAATCTGATAAGATATGAGATTATTTGTAGTATTTTTAAACAACAAATGATTTAGTAAGTATTTTAGGACACTCATGATCTGTTGTCCTAATTATTTGTCATTTAAATGCCATGCCTTGGGCTTTGCACAAGAAGGAAAGAGAGGAAGGAAAGAAGGAAGGGAAGGAAGAAGGCTGGGAGGGAGGGAGGGAGGAGGAAAGGAAGGAAGGAGGGAAAGGAGGAAATAAATACATCTTATCTGAAGCAGGTGGTTGAAAGTTTTAAAATCCAATGAAAGTATTGTGTTATCCATAACACTAATAAGAAACAGTCTACGTTATAAGGATTTTTTGTACTTTTAAAAATTATGTATAATTTTAATGAGTTGTAGTTTTTTAAAAGTTAACCATGCGTGGAACAGTGGGTTATAGATTTTTTCCATAGTCATTGTTTCACAGAGCCACAATCCATGTAGATAGATTTTAAATCACTGCATTGGCTGTATATATAGCTATTAACTTTAGGAATTATTTTTATAAAAATGAAGCAAAAATAAATATTGAAATAAAGCTTTAACAGCCGGCCTAGTCATCACAGTTACTCTAGTATTACATGCTGAGAAGAAAGATTATAAATATGAAACTCTATAGGTTTTCTCCTTTTTTGCAGTCTTTTGTAGAAGACAAAAATGACACCATCATACAGTACCTAAAAGACTTGACAGGTATTGATTTAAAGCATGATATATCAAGTGGTACTGTAAAAAGGATTTCATGGTCATAAATTTTAATGTCTTCCAATTTTGCACCCTCTCAGTAACTTGTCAATAACAACTCTTCTGTACAAAATAGTTGCTTCGCTTCCACATGGCATTAAAGTCTGATGTTCAATTGTTGGGGTATGTAAGGTTCAACAAAAGATAACTTATATGTGGATGTTCATAAATTTCTAAAACCTAATACGTATCTTAAAATTAGCCTCATTACCAAAATATAGGCACTTGCAAGCCATCAGTAGTTTTATTGTATTTTAAATAGTTTATGTTTTGCTCCTCAAATTACAGGATCTGTACCAAGAAGTTATCATGAAATCTGGCTTTTTACACATCATTGTAAATTATGTACATACATTATAAAATTCATGACCAACAGTACAAAATGACTACCAGAACTGACATCCCTTATTAATAATACTGTAACAACTATTAGATTACGTAAATATAATTTCAGCACCTACTATTGAATAAAGCTCTCATTTGTTATCACTGATGTTTTTTGTTCCCAGAAATTATTCATCAAATAATTTAAAGCACCTTTATGTATATAGCGCCTTTATGTATATACTGTTTTATTAGTATGCTGACAGATTAAAAATGAAATAGCAAAATGAGGATGTTTTAAGTATGCCACCATAAGAAAAGACATCACTGTATTTATTCACTTAAACTCTTTTCCATGAAATACTAAAACAATTTTTTTAACAAACATTGTTCTTTTCTCTGTTTGATAGAATAATGGCTGTAACAGGAATTGACCTTTTTTAAAATATCGGGGATATAATTTCTACTGGCTAAATGTTAAAACAACTACTTCAGAAGCAAAGCAAATTGATATGCCAACAAATATATTTAGCAGAATAAATTATCATTAAATGTGCATTCATTTTTAAAGAACTAAATATATCCATAATTTTATTATGTAATAAAATATAACTTCAATACTATTATAACATTAAAATCATGTTTCATTTTATTAATGACCTGATTAGATTCCATTCTTCCCTGATTGTTAAACTGTTTTTTAAAATGACTGTGTGATTTCATAGACTCCTGTGATACTTCATATAGTTTTTATTTAAGATAATTAAACTTCAGGAAGAAGCATAAAGCTTTTTTAAAACTATTACTTCAGAGATAAGATTTCATCTTGGGTATCTAAATATCTATATAAGAGGGAAATATCCGATCTTCATTCTATAAGAAAAAAATGAAAAATCTGGTTATGTCTTTGCATAAACTGTAATTTTTATTTAAACATTTTTAATTGGAGTAATTTAGAGACCACAGTGTTCAAATCTGCCCTCTATTTTACTATACTGGATAAAATATTTTCACTGAAATCTAAATTTCTATCAGTGGTTAGAAATGACATACTATATCTAAAAAAAGAAAAATTATTATTGTGAGACACTATTTTATATTAATATAGTTGTAATAGCTGCTTCTGTAAGCTTTATTACCAACAGATTACTTCAAAGCCAACAGACTACTTTAAAAGAAATCATGGAAGGCAGGATAACAGTATAAAATAAGCCAAAGACAATTTATAAAATTTGAAAGAATTGACATGTAATTTTTTCTGCTTTATTTCAAAATAATCACTCTAATTTGCAGACATTATCCTTTAAAGTTACAGCCAAAGCAGTTATTCAACAAGCCGCTTAGTCAATCCACCTGTAACTCAACATGAGCGACTGTCTGCACCAAGGTGTCATTTCTGTAGGATGGGAAACACAATTACTCCCATTGTCATGTTTGTTCTTACATGGTATTCTGGAAAAGCCTGCCCAACTGCCGTTATTTTCTTTTTAAAATGTTGTAAAATATCGAGTTATTTTGCATACAGTCTTAAGGCATTCAGAAGCCTAGTGTGATTGAGACATTTTATTTGTTGATTTGTGTTTCTGGTGTTATTAATCTTCTCGTAGGTAAGCAGGTGATACACCCTAAACAAATTGCAGTTGTTCAGGAGCAGTTTTCTCCTTCCCCTGAAAAAATTAAATGGGCTGAGGAACTGATCGCTGCCTTTAAAGAACATCAACAACTGGGAAAGGTAAACGTTTTATTAATGCCCTGGATGAAACTGTTATTTATAAAATACCGTGGGGAAGAATGAAAAAACATTAAATGATTTTTTTTTAAATTCATATTCTGGTGGGGAAGGTTTGTATTGGGGGGATAGTATTCATCAGTGAGAAATTCGCCTAATGTAAATTTGCCCTTCCACGTTCCTAAATATTTTACCAACTGGATCTCAAGTCTCTCATTTTATTCTTTTCATAAATTATATTGGCAGCATTTAAGAAAAAAAGAAGTCTGTTTAGTTTTTCTCTATAGACTCTGATACAGCATTTATGAAAAATAATTTTAGATCAAAGCGAGAGCAAGTTGTAATGAAATAAACACAGTTTGATTAAATGGTTCTTGTGGAGAGAAGAAATAAATTTCAAGTTATTTTAGTATTGGAAGGGGAAAGTGCAAAAATCTCCTCCAGTTTAGTCATTTAAGAGTGGAAGATTGTATATGTGCTTGTACCAATTTCTGGACCTGAGATTTGGATAGAATGGAAAGCAAATTAACACTGGAGTACGGTTGTTCCTAATTTAGTGCATCATTGAGCCTCGCGTTTCCTGCTCTGTGGGTTTCTGCTATGTAAATATTGCAGTGGTGATGCGCAATCTGTCTCCACTTTGTGCCAGTAACACTTAAATTAGGTGTCGCCTGAAGGAAGATTTTATGCTAGTTGCAGCATTGTCAGTTAATTATCTTAAAGGTTATTTGCAATAATACCATGTGCCTCTTTTTAAGAGAATGGGGGAAAGTTGCATTTATAAATCTGTCCTAGAGGTAATATCTAAATTCAGCCTTGTCGCTTACATAAGGAGTGTGATTTTGATACCAACCAGGCAGAAGTACTTAGGAGAGAAAGAATGTTCAAACATTTTTAAGGTTCTAAAGGTTAAACAGTCCTCCTTACCAAAAAAAAAAAAAGACAAAACTCATTTTCAGTGGTGAACCAGTGACATCAATGTGACAAGTATCACTTGCATTTTTCACTGGCAGTAAAAACACCTGAAAATCCCAGGTCTTGGGAAGGTAAGTAATAACATTAAATGAGTCACTTCTGCCCTCTCACTGTGAATACCTGCCTTCAATTCCAAGCAGGCATGCATGCTTACCCTCACACACATACAAGATCATCTTTGTACAAACTTGCACTTAAAATCAAAAGGCAGAATCTGTAGTATTGGAAACGTCCCATTTGAATAGCATCCTTTCATTTCATATCAGTAGTGAACAGAAAAACATGCAGTGCATTGAAAAATATTTTTAACTTCACATTGTATTTTATGTTCACTTCTATATCTTGACCCCAAAATCCAGATTCTCAAACGTAGATATTTACCTAGAGAGAAGAGCCATGTGCTGTTTCACTCATATGTGCAAATAACTCCATCCACTCTACTCTGTCCCATGCTTGCCTGCACACACACTCCCTAAATGTTCTACACCTCTGTGTGTACCTTATGCCAGCTGTGGACATGAATGTGATAAATACTTCGTAGTGAAATAATCAATTGAGGAAGGATATGGACCATCAAAACGGCAGACGGAGCAGCGTTCCAGTCTGGGCCAGCCCTTGTGTTACACTGGGTTTCATATTGGATAACATCAAATGGTGCCACTTGGCATTTGTAAGCAGCTAGGGGTATGGGAGAGGTTACCCCAAATTTCAGTAGCCAGCAAATAAAATCCAAACTAGAAGCACACTCTTTAATTGTCATTTTAAGTTCTTGAATGAAGAAAATAACAATAGTTTTTCATTGTATCTTGAAAGTGTTATTCCCAGGGAAAATCGTTTCAGAGTATCCTTGCCTTTTGATGATGGCAACTTAAATGTTAAATTATGAAGTATTTTTTTAAAATAAGAAATGCCCTCTTGATAGAGCATAAGCTTTCACAACGGTGTGGCAGCTTTTCTTAACACCAAACCATAGAAATTAGAGCAGAAGGGAGGCTACTAACTATTAGGTCATTTCTTCCCTGCCCCATTTGTGTAGGTTTGTTTCCTTTCCTCGTGCTTTGTCCAGCAAGGTTTAAATGATTCAAATAATGGGGCTTCCAGTGGGGACATATGGTTATTTTATCCAGTTTGCATGTTGCTTTCACTTTGCCAATAAATTGGCTGGTCATAAAAATTGGGTCTGCAGGTAGGTGACTCTGGGTCTTGAGAGGTCTTGGGGTTTAAATAATGTGGGTTCTGTTTGTAAAGATTTAGTATAAATAGGTTGCTCAGTTGTATGAAGTATTGCTTCCAACAAACATCTAATCTGTTTTTTTTCAAATGTGAATCAGTGATGAAAACATACACCCTCGGTCACTTTGTCCAAAGCACAGATGACTCTCTCAGTGATAAAAAGCTGATGGTTTGTGTCCCAGTGAGACACAAATTTCTAAAAGACTTTTTTCCCCTCTGATGAAAAATTTCATTGGAGAAATGTTTTAGAATAGAAATGACCCAAGAAGGGAAAATTACATATTTTTACTTTTCCTACTTCTTGCTCCCATCTTAAATTATATTCTTCCCTAAGGCCAAATTTTTAGCTGAAGTGTACAGTTAATGCTGGGTAATTTGTTTTCTATTGTAATAATAATTATTATTGTAATATAGCTTTAATAATTATTATTCAAAAATAAAAGTTCTACCTTTTTTCCTTTTCTCTCCCAATAACAATATTCATGGGAATACTTAGATTATGAGACGATAAATTATTAGGGTTCAGTCTTTGGTATCATATGAATTTTTTGTTTTATTTTAATTAGAAGTCCTAAGGAAAGAAAGTTTGATGCCCTTATCCTAATGTCAGATGACAACACTTTACATTAAATCATCATAATCTGCTCGTATAACCTGTCACTGTTTCGCAGATAATGATACTTATGACTCCTTTAAGAATTTTGCCTGGTAAAATAGTCCCCACTAATAACTAGGCTATAAGTTGACATTAAGGACTGAGGTCATCTTCTCCTGTTAAACCTGTTGAAAAATGTCTAAACATTCCACATACTCTCTGTTCCTATTTTAATTCCGATAAACTAAAATATTTCTAAGTAGCTGACATCGGTTGTAGGTATATACCCACAATATTAATCAAATTTGATTCTTTCTTCCATCCTCTCAGAAAAATACATTTTGAAATGCAAGCTACATGTCATTAATTATTTTAGCTTCAAATTATTTGATTAAATATTTTAGCCAGGATAAGTCACTACCATGTAACTTGTTTTAAATTTATAAAGGATTTTCTTGAAAGTTAATTTTATTTTTATATCATTTTTTCATAATAGTGTTGATTCCAATAATATTTGAAAATTTTCCATTAGCTGAATTTTATATTGTCTATTTAAAAATATAATTTTAACAGTTTTTAAAATTTTTATTAAATGTATTGGGGTGACATTGTTTAATAGGATCATACAGGTTTCAAGTGTACATCTGTGTATATTGTTAATAGTTTATTAACTAAGAAGTGTATGTAGTATGAAAATTGGATCAGTGAAATGAAAATATCTCAAGCAAATAATTAGTTGATATTAGTTGATATTAGTGGAAATTATAATTTGTTTATAAATAAATACATATACATACATTCATATTTGTATGATACTGTATATTTTTTCATGTCTATATTATAAATTCAGTGCTCAATTTTTTCTTTTTCCATATTCATACTTCTTGGGCAAAAATGATAGCTAAAGGAAACAGTTGCTTTTCAAAAATGATTGATAATCCCAAGAAATCTTAATATAAGAATTTACTATTTCTTTCCAAATGGAGGCTCTAACAGGAAGATGTGAAAGAATAACAAAATATACTACATGTGACCGATTTTTAAAGGTACTTTGCTATAATATTCATATATCTGCAGTGTCTGCCTGCAAATATGGCTTTGCTTCATTTTTCAGTTTTCCAAGCATTCTGGTTTATTGATATCATTGCCTTGTGTGCTTTATTTTGTTTCAGAAAGATTTCGTTTAACTTTTTCAAGATTTTTTGTTTGTTACAGCTTCACAAGCTGACTAAAAAACAAGGAAGGGCAAGTGTTAATCTTTAAAATCTAGGTTCAGTTAACAACTATAAAGGTTAAAAACAAGGTCACTAACTTGATATAACGACTGTAAATAATACACATAACTGAAACATTCTAATTTCACTAGAACGAGCAATGCTGCAAATTGTTTGTATTCATAAGCAAATCCTGTACTGGAATGTAAATTAGGAATTTATATCTTAATAAAGAAAGAAAAAAAAGTTTTTTTCCCTCATGTAAGTTTTTCATCTAGAAAATTGCAAAGAATACCCCCCACACACACACCCCAATATTGAGAGCAAATTATTTTCATAGGTTATCTCATTGCAGCTCACACACCTTTCATTTGTGTTTCTAAATGCAGAGCTTTATGAAAGAAATACTGTTTGATCCAAGGGGACTTCTAAAAGGCTCCCTGAGAGAACTCAGAGGTCTCTCTAGCCAAAAATATTGTTTCTGCTTATTCAAGTGCCAGAAATCCCACTGCCAGCCTTTCACGCAGATCAAATAAACCATCTACAGATTTGGTTGTTGTCTTTGTCAACAGAAAGGGTTGATTCCACTAACAGACAATAATGTATCTTCCTACACCCATGCTTCCAACCACCCACAGCCTTTCTCCCCTTTATTTGTAAGAAGGAATACTAATATCTAATGGAATAATTTCTAGTTAACAAAAAAAAAAAGAAGATGAAGGAACATAACTGTACTTTTGAGATTCTTATTCATTACATTTCTCCGTTTATTTTCCTGTTTCTTTAATATTTTTAGAACTACTAATATATGCCATAATTTTTATTTTAAAAAGTCAAATTCTTAGAAAAGCTGAGAATCTACCAATGATGACCTTAAGGTTGATTTGATTAACAACAAATTGCAGATTTCTAAACATTTACAACAAAGTGATACAACTCTAGTGCTGATCATAGTCTATTTCACATAGTTTTAGTGGCAAGTGGCT